GCAGTTCCTAGGGTCACAGGTTGCCTCAGCTGGCTGGTGATCACCAGCGACAAGGCTGCAGAATGCAGCCCTGAAAAAATCTCTCCTGCTCCAGCCTTAGTGGTAAATGCACCCAGGAGCACCAGGCTGAGCCACCCCAGAGATTTACTGGGAGCAGGGACAAAATACCTGTACAAAAAGTACAAAAAAAGAAGGGAATATTTAGGGACTGTTTGCTCCTGGTGCATGTTCCTGCTCAATCTGAAGCATTACTGGCTCTGGTGCCACCTCCAGCGTGTCACAGCTCACCTCAGGCCAGATCCCAAAGGCAGCAGAGCCCTCAGGGCCCCTCCTGCTGCCTCCCCCAGCTTGGGCAGCCCAGCCCTGCTCTGTGGGGCACAGGGGTGCACAGGTCAGTGCAGGCACTGCAGAGCTGCGTAATCCGGGCCCTGGGGAATCACACTGCTGTCTCATTTCAGGCTTTTCACCCCATCCCTCCCTGTCTCTGCATGCTGGCTGCTGTTCACCTGTGCCCCCCAGGCCTGCAATTATCCAGATCCCCGTGCTTGGCTCCATAAATCAGCACCACCCGCACCACTCCCCTCCCTGCAGAAATGTCCCAGCCTGCCAGCCCCACCACAGCTCTCCCATCCCAGGAGGTTGCAGGACAGGTGGGACAGGGAGGAAAAGAGGGCAAAGCCCCCAGCCCATCTCTGGGATGGGGCAGTGCTCCCAGGGAGCTGCTGCTGCAGCACAAATGCCCACGGGGAGGAGAGATGATATCATGACCTGGCTTTGTGTGAGCTATTTAGGGCCTTTTAATTATTATTACTATTATTATTATTATTTTTCTTTCCCGTTCCTGCAGCTCTGAACAATGCCGGTCCCGGCGGGGCTGCGGTTCACACCATTGTGTGGGGCTGCCCTGCCTCAGGAAGGGGCCGATCTTTATCACCCCGGGCTCAGTGAGTGAGCTCATTCCGGCTGAGGAAAGCAAGGAACACCTTGCTGGCAGCCTGGAGGTGCCCTCCATGCTCCTACCCCCAACCCCTGCATTTGGGGGAGGCCCTGGGTGCTGCTTTAGCTCTGCCAGGCAGCAGAGGCCCACCCAAACCAGCCCTGCAGGGCCACCCACCAGCAGAAACCACCCCCGGTGTGGTGCAGCCCCCCAAACTCTGCTGGGGCTGCCCTCTGCCTGTCCCTGCTCCCACCTGGGCACAGTGACAGTGGTGGCATTAGTGCCTCTCCCAGTGTTTACCCAGGAACAGGTCTAACCTGCCCACAGCCATTGGCTTTTCTTTTCTCCCCAGCCCTGTCCAGCCCTAAAACTGTGAGAGGGGTAGTGGGGAGCTGCACCCAGGAACAGCTGGCACTGCTGAGTGTGTCCCAGTGCCAAGGGAGGGTAGGCAGGAGCCCTGTCCCTCAGGACACAGCTTGGGTGGCACAGCACAGCTCTGGCTCCCCAGGCACAGCAGGTGACAGAGCTCCTCCTGCACACAGAGGCTTTTTGGGATGATGCTGGCTTTCCCCCATACAGATGAGCAGGCATCATCTTCCCCAGGCTCTGTGCTGGTGTGGAAAGAGCCTGGAGCCATCAGCCGCTCCCCATGGCACCACACATGGCCCCAGTATTCACAGAGGGACCCAGGCAGCACCTGGGTGACAGCATGGCCTGGGTGGCACTGTGCCACTGTGCCCCAGCCCACCCAGGCACCACGGCCCCCACCTGCTGCATCACCTGCAAGAGCAAGGGGGGCCAACATGTCCCACCTCACTGCCTGTTTGTGAGGTGACCCTGCAGCCCCTGAGGGTGACAGGGACCTGCCCATCCAGGAGGACCAGGCTGGCAGCACTGCAAGCCACACAGCAGCAGGTGAAGAGGCCCCAGCAGCAGCACAGGGAGCTGGTCCCTGCCCACAGCTG